GCTTGGTTCAAGTGGCTTACATCACGCAGGGAGTCTGACTTCCTGAACTACAGAAGGATTCGCAATCTCTGCAACATTAGAGTGCGTAACGACAGATTTTCCTATCAAACAAACTTGGCAGCGAGGTTACAAAGCAACCCCAAAAACCTGTACCGCTTCATGTCAAGAAGAAAGTCGACCAGTAAGGGAGTGAATCTTGTCACAGGCCATGACGGGAGTGTGCTAGGCAGTCTAGAGATTGTCTAGCTTTTGAGCTCACACTTCCAAGCCCAACTCAGCACTGACACAAGATCCACACCGACTCGCTACGACACCGACCAGGTCGTAAATAACGAATACCTCTGTCACGTCTGTATTACAGAGAAAAAGGTGTTCGAGAAGCTATCTAGGCTACCTCCGGGCAAGTCCCCTGGCTGCGATAACCTGAAACCAGTGGTTCTGAAAAACTGCGCCGAGGTGCTTACTAAACCACTTCGCAACCTCTTTGAGCACTCAATAGACTCGTGCAAACTCCCCAAAGAATGGAAGAGCTCCATCTTGTCACCCATCTTCAAGGGAGGAGACAGAAAAAGCCCTGGCAGCTACAGGCCAATTGCCCTACTCCCTATTGTGTCGAAAGTGTTGGAAAGCCTGGTAGCTGACACCATCTGGGAATTCCTCAATAGGGAAAACACTGTCCACACTGCTCAGCACGGCTTTCGTAGTGGTCGCTCATGTGCCACCAACTTACTAACCGCCTGAGACGACTGGACACAAAGCTGGGATAACAGAAAACCTGTACATGTTGTATTTCTCGACCTAGCCAAAGCATTTGACAGTGTCCCACCCACAGTACTGCTTCACAAGATCATGTCAGCTGGTATGAGTGGACCCCTACTCTCTTGGTTCAAGGAGTACCTTGAAGGGAGGCAGTTCCGCATTAAAGTGAACAGAATAAGGTAGGAGTGGAGACCGTCGACGTCAGGAGTATCCCAAGGAGCAATCCCAGGACCGCTTCTGTTCCTCCTGTTTGTCAACAAAGGTATGACAACCAGAGCGAACGCCATTCTACACTTTCTGCGTAGACAGCTTGGTGCCCTCACTCCCGAACTCTTCCTCACCATTTTCAAATCATACACGCGGCCGCACCTAGAGGTCTTCAGTGCGGTGGCTCCTCCAACACTCAAGAGAGACTCTAATCTCCTTGAAAGAATACAGAGAACTGCAACGAAATGTGTTGTTGGGCTAAGGGGAAAGACGTATCCTGAAAGACTTAAACACCTCAACCTATTTACCTTGGGTTATCGCAGGAAAAGGGGTGACCTCATTATGGCATAGAAGATCGCCCATCAGGCAGACCATGCAAACAAATCAATTTTGCCTGCAACTGAACGATCTTCACGAGGAAACCCCATTAAGATAGCACACCAGAGAGCCAACACCACACTCAGGTCCAAATTTTTCTCCCTATGTGCTTTATGGAATGCCTTGCCACGACACATCGTTATAGCTCCTTCAATCGACTCTTTCAAGAGGCGATTAGACAGTTATGTCACCTCGTATGGACTACCACGGACGTACTCAGGTAGTCACCAACCTCACTAGCCCCCAACTCCCTCCTAACTACCACTCACTATCTCTCTCCTTAATACACCCACATTACCTACTAATTCTTCTGTAGGAACCAAACCCACACGACTACTCGGGCAATTCCCAAATACTTTTCTTTCGTTCTCATATCTCTTTTCACCCCTCCCTTCCTTCTCCTTCCCTTCTCTCTTCCCTATATTATTATTTTTTTTTTAAATTTTTTTCTTTTCTTTATTCTCTCTTCATTCCTTTACCACTACCTTAATATTCTCTTTCAGGTACCTATACAGACAGGAGTCATGGCAGTTCTCTAAACTTCCCAGCAACCCGTAGCTCCCTAATCACTCTACAAATTACAACCTACTAACCCACAAAACATCCACCTCACCGAAGCTAAAAGCAAGAAAGCAGAGGGTATTTCCTCGTCCACTGCAGGAGTAAACCGAACAACTGGAACCAAGCCCTAAGAAGTAGACGCGAGAGATCAAAAACTACTAGTTTTCTACGCTCGCACTATCTATATAGATTAACGAAGGTGAAGGCGCGCTCCTTGAGTAGTGACGTGTTTCGCTCGTCTCTCAGCTTTTGGATTTTTCCACAATGAAAAACTCCCACTTTCAATACTCAATCTAAAAACATCGAACGTTTGCAGCACTTCTGTCCGTCCACGCACCTCACCCCTGCGCATTCGTCAGCTCACTCCTCAACAGTTGAAAATTGGCATTATTATTCCTTTGAACCAACCGGTCTACCTCCTGTCAGTGGTTCTTGGGCGTTTCAGCTGCCAAACTGCCTTAGCTCTCGGTTCTCCTCGGAGGTCATTCCCCAGGAAATATCTTCCTGGTTATACATACGCATCTGGAGCTTACGGTTAAACTCGTTGGTCAAGAGCAGAGGATCAAGTGACAAGTGTCTGAAGGTGAGCCAACATAAATTATCTTCCCTTTTCTATTCTGTCCTTTTCCTGCATTCAGTCTTCAACCCTCTTATTGTTGTTAACTACTTGTTTTCCCAAGAAGTTTATATCATAGCGACATGTCTGCCCAAAACGCTAGGTCTGAAGCTTTGACACGGATAACGCGGTCGTGCACAAAAACGGCCAGTAACACCCTAAACAACACACTAGTCTGTACTAGAAGACAAACAGAGGTAGGGCAGAACATCGAACTTCTAAAGAAGTGGCCAACCCATGTTTCTAGAATTCCAGTAGCCATCAGACAGGTGACACAGAGTAGCACTAGCCCGTCACAAACTAGTCCTATCTTGAGCAAGGATCATACCATGCCTGAAATAGAAGACGACGTAAAAGGCTTCAGAACAAGGCAGCCACAAGCAGTTCGCCACAATCCGTAGCACCTTATTCATGGAAGGAAGGCTGTATTACGACACCCGATGGCTGCAGTGTTTGCACCAAAGTTGTTTCGGTAGTCGATGAGGCATTTGCATGCAACCTGTGTCAACGATGGGTGCATTGCCACTGCGATACCAAAGTCCCCCGACAATACTATAAGCTGATGAAGAGACAACCATGCAAGTGGTTCTGGTACATCTGTCCAGAGTGCAGGAAAATGCCCGCACTCCGCACAGAAAGCCTGAAGGAGATGCTCTCCGCCACGCAAAAGCTACCAGCATCCCGAATAAGTAGGGTTAACACCAAAGGATAACACAGAGAGACCTGGAAACAGACCTAGAGCTCCAGCTGTGGGCACGCCATCTCGCGTGGGGACCATATTAGGTCAAGTCTCCATACCCCCACCCGGCCCCAGGGGACGTCAAGCGCATGGCCAAAGACATCGACCGCCGAAGCCTCTACGAAACCCATTCCGAACACCCCACACACCGTGACTGAGAAACAACCAGTGGAATTACTCAAACCCATTGGTAAGTCGGGCGTGCCACCCACAACGAACCCAGGTCACAGGAGGACCAACTCGATCATTTTGTTCAACGTCGATGTATCGACAGACTCATTGTTGGTCGAGAGGGAACAATTTGACAGCCGAATGTGGACCGACTACTGTCAGATGCTGGGACTCCCTCCCCTCCCTGCAACTTTGTGTCGCCTTTCTCGAGGAAGCCATGCACCCCGAGATAAGCCACCCCCTTTACGTGTGTCCCTAAATACCGCCAAAGAGGCTGAAGACACACTCCTCCTCTCGCGACAACCGGACGTTGTTAATGCCTGTAAAATTCGGGCCAGGCCTGACAAGCCATGGTCAGTAAGAGAGGAGGAGAGAAAGTCAGCGGTTGGAAATCCCAACAGAAACAACACTATAGTTGTACATGGGATTCCAGAATTGCCAAGTGACAGCTCGGTCAAAGATCGGTACTTTCACGACGTCCAACAATGGCAATGGCTCTCAACCAAAGTTGGTCTCAACAGTATACCGGCCAACAGCGTCAGTAGACTGCCAAGGCCAGCGCACCTGAAGACCATACCCAATCCCAGACTACTTGCCGTCCAGTTCGACTCATATGCCTCCCTCACAGACGTTCTGCACGCATGGTATAATGCGAAAGATCGCATGGGTGGCTCAATACGTATATGTGAAAGTAAGCCTAGACCCACAAGGCAAGAGGAGAGACGGCAACCACCAAGACCTCTGGAGTCAGTGGTCGTCACACAGGCGCTGACCAGTGAGTTAGATACATCAAGTAAAGAAGCCACCACTGCTACAGCCCCCACCCAAGTTAAGAACAAAACACAAAAAAACGGAACAATGCCAGTCCTATGAGGACTGGCGAGGCTAAATTCAACCACGTAAGCGCTCATCCCGCGAAAATACACATCCAGACCTCCCCCCTCATCAGGTACACTCTAATATGTATGTACAGCAACGTTAGGGGGCTAATAGGGAAGGTAGCAAAAATGAGGACGCTGCGTGAACATCAGCACTACGACATCATATTCATCACCGAATCCTGGCTCTCATCGGACATCTCCGACGAAGAGATGCGTGTTGCTGGCATGGAACTCTTCCGCAGGGACAGGGAACATAGAGCAGGAGGGGGAGTGGCTATCTACGCAAACTCCTGTTTAAAGGCAAGGATGGTTAGCGATACGGCCTTAACCCAGCTCCCAGAGTCTCTATGGTGCTACTTCACTCTCTTCTTTATTCTCTCTTCATTCCTTTACCACTACCTTACTATTCTCTTCCAGGTACCTACACAGACAGGAGTCATGGCAGTTCTCTAAACTTCCCAGCAACCCGTAGCTCCCTAATCACTCTACAAATTACAACCTACTAACCCACAAAACATCCACCTCACCGAAGCTAAAAGCAAGAAAGCAGAGGGTATTTCCTCGTCCACTGCAGGAGTAAACCGAACAACTGGAACCAAGCCCTAAGAACTAGACGCGAGAGATCAAAAACTACTAGTTTTCTACGCTCGCACTATCAATATTGGATATTGGATATTGAATATTGGATATTGGATATTGGAGTGGTGGGACTTTTAAGTACCTCGTGTTGAGGTGTCTGAGTTGGTCGTTCAACCGAAGAGAAGTATGGTTCACGCTCACCCTTCGTCATATGAATGCCTCCATTTAATCAGCCTCATGTTGCTGAACCAAAGGAAAATTGACCAAAGCACTTACTAGCGAAGGTTTGTTACCTGACTCTGACCTTGCTTGTCTGAAAACCCTAATCCATGGGTGATTTGGAAGGTAAGGTGAAAGACTGTGTATCAAAGTCAGATGTGAATAATGGAGTTTATGGCGCACATCACATAACTAGTAAGTTGTCGATTTCCCTGACCTTATGGGGCTTCGTCTTGTAGCGAATTGCTCATCGAAGGAGTCCAGTTCAGGATTTATGCTTTTAAGTGTAAAGCATCTGTCAAAAGTGAAAAAAGGCAAACCTTCATCGGCAAACGGTACAGAATATGACTTTTCCACCAAAAAGCAGGCAGGAATGCGTACTGCATTGCCTCTACCAAGTTTTTCTGAAGTAGGTGGTGACTTGATGCTTCCGAGTTCTTCATACGATGCTGCACGTGACGTTTACGCTTCCGGGTCTATAGAAGCCGAGGAATTCGAAGATTTCGAAGACCCAGAGGATGATACTGACCTGGCTGATGATGAGAATCTAATAAATCACATAAGCAATGCCCATAAATGTTGCAATACTCTTCCTTATTCAGTTCTACCGGTTAGTTCATCGAGTGTCGTCGACTCTTGTCAGGTAATTCACTTAATCTGTAAATGCTTCCAACTGCGGTGTTGACAGTAGTGAAAATTACGCACATTCTTTTTCGCGAACTCAGTGGAGAATGTCCCAATTCCTGACACAAGAGCATTTGCTAAGTTGTAACAACTTTCTCGGGAGTGGGACTATATGGCAAGGCTTGAATATCTCTCAATTTATGATGTGATGTAGTTGTATCATGTTTGCCAGTTTGTATAGGACAGGGAGTCTATTGTGCTTTTACTGTACTGTAGAGTAAACTTCGGATGCAACATAGTGCCTAAAGTTTTTTATTTAAGATAACTGCACTTTTTGGATATTTGGTGGAAATAAAAACTGGAAGAGAGGGTTTCGGATGTGTTGGGACTTGATATCTGTGTAGTGATGATGACAGTTGAATTGTACGTCTGAATGTTCGGGGTTGGTGATGCATCTGTGAAGTCCATGGTCAGCGTACCTATTACGTGTACTGGTTAACAAAATGGGGTGCTGGACGGCTACATTTGAATTTCTTGTCATGCATTTCTAGCTAAGCCCCAAAGCGAAGTTGGTCTTCGTGAGTAGTGTGGGTGTTATGTGCTGATCTCGATTCTCTTAGTTGCCTTTGCAACCGATTTCACATTTGACATGATGCTTCGCAATGTCATGATTTGGTTATATTATGGTTTTCTGTTTCTTCAGAGGAAGCATCGTGTGTTGTAAACCTAGATTACCATAAAAAGCCTTGAGGAACGGAAATTTTAAAATTGCCATTGTAATTTTCATGACCATGACGGGGTGCTTTTGATGGGAAACGGTATGCCATTCGATTTGAATTGTTTAGTTCCCCTTATGAATCTCGACAAAAGATGTTCAAATGAAATGTGTGATGTACTGGATCAATGCATTCCACAAATTTGGTCACATGCATATTTATACGACTTATAACTGAGCAGATGACTATTTGCCTGCAAGTTCGGTCGGTTCTCAGCAATAGTGAGTGATATCTATGACCGGTCTCGCCACAAACTATCTAGTATCTTGTTTTTGATGCCAGACTTTCATTATGATTGCAGTTAATTAGAAGTCATGAGTGACTAACACTGATCATTTTTGGATTTCTCTTGGTTTTTCTCTGTTAGCGTAGAGTCACTTTGTGGTCTACATTTTATTTCTTACCTTTTTATTCCGTGGTCGAAGAGATTTTATCAAAATCCAATTATGCCACTGGGATCTAGACAGGATTTTCAGCCATGGAATGCTATGTGGGTTACTGCACCTGTTAGTTGATCCGTTGTTTACTAAATCTCGTCTGATTGTTTGTTTGCAGCAGGGACAGTGTTATTGGCACATTATTATTAGGTTGTGTCAAAAATAACTCAGTTATATTTCTGAATTCGATATCAGTTTATTGTTCCCGTTATTTCGATGCCAATGAGTGTTTGTCAGTATTCTAACTTGTGGTTTCAGCCGGTTGTTTATGCAAACTATTCGCAATAAGTCTATCGTAATCCGCTGGGTTAGAGTACTTTGGCGATGAAAGGATTAATGGTTGTTCAGTCTGTCAAAATTTGTATACAGTAGGTATGATTTAGGTGACATGTAAACTATCGAACCCGGACACGTCTATTTTTATTGTGGAGTTTGATGCACTTTAAAGATTTTGAAACTTTATTCCAAGATAAATTTTAATGCTTAAAGTTAATTCTAGCCGAGTTACTTAGTATGTACATTAATTACTTGTTTGGTTGTAGCTCCATTCTCCTATCGGATCACAATCGTCTGCAAAGTCTTTAAACGGTCATTCCCAACCACAGGATTCTCTGGATGATGTTTCTAGTAAGAGATCTTCATTTGCTTTCCATGATGGTTACCGACAACAGCATTCGAATCGACTGCTCTCTCCCATATTAATTTCTTCGTTTGATCAATTTGTGAAATTAAATTACCTACAGCCTTTCCAGAGTAAATGCATTTATCCAGCATATCCCAGCGATCCGCATCATCCAGGTTCGCTAAGTTCAGCCGACTCAGACATTATATATTCATCGCGATCACCGATTCCTTACGATAAGTACTCCATCTCCTTTGGACAAAACTATCAAAATAATTGCCACTTGACTGATCAACGGATAATTACTGATTCCCAAGATTTTCCAATAGTTTCTGATGTATCACAGTTGTCGAATTCCGTATGCACCATGGCAAATCATAACTATCCTGACCTGCCCAATACTTCAGATTGGATGAAATTCTCCAGTGTACTGAACCCTCCTTATAATATTGGCTTATCCCCTCGTTCAAGACACGGAAGTTACACTCAAACTCCAGTAACATGTTTGCACCACTTGCATCCATCAACAACAGATGACACAACATCAACTGCCTCCGCTAAAAGTCACCTAACATCAGACGTCGTTGCTATGACCACAGCATCGCTTCCACCCTTACAACCAGCCTCGAGATTTCGCAAGGCTCGCATACATGAAACAGTAGAACAGTGGTCTTGCGGTCGTGTTTCCGCACATGACTGCCACCTGAAGGCCATTCCTGACTGGGTTAGTGAACTTCAGAAAAAGTCATTTGTTTGCGAAGAAGCTGATGCGACCTTGGCGAATAAGAAAATAAAATGTTTATCCTGTTTCATACCAAAAAATGGTGAGTTATGTCGACGATACTTGATTATGTGTAGTTGTTTGAGCTGTAACCAAAACCGTCCCGGAAACTGTTTACCGTAAGCCTTTTACGTATATATATATATATATATATATATATATATATATATATATATATATATATATATATATATATATATATATATATATATATATATATGGGTTCACACCGATAAGATACTCAAGGGATTATATTCGGGGGCAGAAGCAACCAATAGATTCTATATAATCAACCTAGCCGTTTATAGGAGTACTAAATTACGCGTATAGAAACAAACTTGTGTAAAGTCTAGGACTAACTGACTACTGAGCTTCTAATTATCCAATTGGGGGTCCATTTCCTATGTGGTAACTGGCAAGAAATGTGCATATCTTGATAACCAAGCTATTAAGCTACATTATTCCTTTACGTAAAAGATTTTCATACTTTATTTAAGTTTAGTCGCTAGAAATACCGTCTGCCGACTAAAATTTAATGAATGCTATTGGTAATTTAGAGGCTTGAAAAGTTTGTTACTGCGGTACACTCTCAGCGAGATTAAGTGGAAATGAAAAGGAACGTCAGTTGTGATGACGTTTTCTGTAAATATTTTAGTAGAAGTAGTGCATTTCAGGCCAGTGCAGGTTTAAGAGGTAGCCTTCTGGTCTATCAGTTAGATTTCATGCTACTACCCATCTGCGCAGGTTGGATCACGTGGAGTTGCATCTGAAAGTAATACACACTGCTTGGTTCTCAAACTAAAGAACAAGTTCATTTCTAACATCGTTTTATGCTCTATGCTTTATGCTCTTCCAGAATCAAGTTTTCACCGGTGTATGGTTTTCTCTTCGTAGTTGCGGTACCTCCGCGAAAATTCTTAGTGAAGGGGTCAGCTCCCACAGAAAAATCAATGAATCTCCTACGGTAGTCTCAGTAAGTGCCTGTTAATGAGTCTCTTACCAACTAAGCATCTTAACGGCTTGTGTTGAACACGTACATTAAACAACAATATTGCCAGCTTCAGAACTGTGACTTCAATGATTATACAACAAATGCTTATGATTCCTGAATTTAGGAATACTTGAGGGTATAAGCTAGGTAGCTTCACTAAGGTCTGATTTAAGTACCTAGCATAATCTTTCACAGAAATAGATAACAACTGACTTGTCGCGTATCGCTTAGTGTTTGCTCTGCGATCTATCTTTTCTGGAGCGTTGTTAAGTGTCTTTCTCGTGACTAACTGCTTACCGTTTTCCATCATTTACAGAGGATACAAATGCAACTTTGCTCTCCCGATTCGCCAAAGGTTTTGCACATCTTGGAATCTCTTTTGATCCTTGTTCCATAAATAATCACCAGGAATTGGAAGATCGACCAAATATTTTGAGCCATGGGTCTTCAGGAAGTAATCTGTTTTCATTTTGGAACGATGGTCTTCGTGTTTGCTATCAAATTCCTTTTTCCCGTATTCATATGCGCCACTCGGAACCAAGTCACGATACTTGTGATAGTTGTGAAAGTACTATTCAAGAAAATGTTGAATCTGAATACAAAGAAAAATCTGCGTCCCCGCTAAGTGGTCACAATGGACATGACCTGAACGCACTTTCGTCGTTGAGCAAAAATGGAACCAATGAGGGAAACACTGGAATTACAGGTGATTCTACCATTCTTTTGAATGCTACTGATCCTGCCACCGCGTATCTGCGCCGACAGCATATGGGCACTGAAATTGATGGGGACAAGTTGTCAGTCGTTGCAGATTTGGAACAACACAGTGACAATTCTATTATTGCATCTACTGCTGAGCAACCTTTGAAAAAAGTAACTGCTCATCAGTCAGATTTAACTAACGCAGACTCAAAGACGCCTAACCATTGCTTTGATGAGTCTAGTCGTTCTCCTATCCAAAAAGTGTGTTTTTGTAGATTTTCAAGTACGCCTTCAAGTAATATCCCTCCAATTGATCCTAACACAGACTTCATTGCCAAAAAAACTAATCGAATTCCTCTAGAACTGCAGATTTCGTCTGAAATTTCAAAGTCTAAGCTTCGCTTATTAAATTTAATTCCTAGTGATGAAGACAAAGTAGGATCTGGTCAGACAAAGACTGATCCTTTTATTTCTAGTGTACAGGACTTCATGAGTAAAGATCCCAGTCTGATGAGTAAACATGAACTCTGTGACAAATTTCCGATAACTCACATTTCTACGGGAGGCTTCACCGAACCAATTTCACCGAAAAATGTTAGATCTCGCTTTCGTCCCGGCAATCGTCGTTCAAAAAGCTTTGATGATGGCTTCTGTGCCAGTCGTTTGGATCGTATGAAAAATAGGTTGTGTAATTCTGATATTGTAAAAAGGTTAGTTCTCTTTACGCATTTGCCTATATATCGACTATATGTAATATCGAGCCGTCTTAGCTAAAAATTTTGATTCTCAGACACAGTGATGACTTACTGTTACCTGCTTTATTTGGGGCTGTCGGGTAAATTACCGGTTATTAAGATGTTTTGTAAGGAGCCTAGTAAATCATCCTTTTAGGTACTTAGTTTTTCCGACCACTGCTACAAACCCCAGATTTTTTCGGCACTCATGGATACCCTGAGTGACAGTTTGGGATGGATTGCTCACCGCCTAGATCCAAATAACATCTTCAGGACTGGTCTTCGCTAATGCCTTGAGTAGCAGCAGGGAGTTAAGTGGTTGAGCACGCTGACCGCTTCACTTAGCTGGTAAGTCGGACCACCCCTAATGGGTTAGCGACCGACGAAGACTATGCACGGATATAAAAATCTGTTTCAGCTCTCACCAAATCACGCAATCTGTGGCGCCGCAGTGATATCCGTTTGTCTATTGCGGGTTGAGTCTCTTGCGCTGCAGTTCACTGTGTTCTATTATTCGATCGAGAAATATGGCCAATCTAGGTTGAGGACAGGAGGCTTCAAGTGTTCGAAGACTGTTGCCGTTTAGCATAGGCTATGTCGTGCTGCCGCCATGTCAGTAACGTCGAAGTCAGGTGTAGAGTTTTGAAAAGAAGAAAGTCAGTTGATGAAGTTGTAAACCCTGTGTAACTCAGACGTTTGGGACATATATCGTTCACGCGTGATCACCCTCCGCCCCGTCGCGGAGTGTTAGCTGAAGTAACTCTATGATTCGGAGATGTTGAATGTGACCAGACTAAAACATGGTATCAGTCCATGAAGTCTTTGACTATTGGTCTGAGCTATGTTGAGAAATGTGGATTTCCTGGTTGAGGTCAGCGTAACAACTGAAACCAGTGGTTAGAGACTAGGTGATATGGTTTGTAATCGATTTCTGGTGTAAGTGCGTCGACATATGATGGTCGTCATAACCATCACACCGAATTTCACCATAGTTTCATCTATTTTTGTTCTCTTTTCCCAACTTTCTTTTACTTGATTACTTCCTCTGTTTTCTACCTTTAATCCTGATACATTCTCACTCTAAGCAATGATATGATGTGTGGTAACTTGAACCGTTACGCAGCAATGCTAGATCCCATTTTGATGCAGACTGACTGTCATCGGGTTAGCGTCCTTAGGTCATCTGTTTGAGTAATTTTATTGTACTCACTAAATAAACTGCATTCATGGGAATGATAATTGTGGACTTTGTTTTCATCATGATATGGACCAAAGATCATCTGAGTTTCATTATGCTTCGTTCGCCAGTGTTCACGTTTCGCTATTTATTATTCATTGTTTGTTTTGAATATGACTAGTAGGTCTTCTTCTGATGTGCGAAAGTTTGGTTTCATTGCTTCTGCTATTATTACTTTCAGGGCTTGTGCACCTTTAACTGTGGACGATCTAACCAGTGCTACATCGTCCAAAGCTCTTAAATTTCCCACTGGTTTTGCAAGTGAAGTAGAATATTGTCAGAATCCCAGGACTTCTTCTCTACTGTCTGATCGTCTTGAAGCTCGAATACGTGCGAGTATGGTAAGATCTTTTTATTCCTTGTCAGGAAGCTTTTTATAATTTTCTAAGATTTGAATTTATGACCGCCGTTTTCAGGATCCATGTTAGACTGAAACTCCTCCATAGGATCAACTGCATAACATCAGACTATTTCTCTACATGAAATGTCGAAATTTTCTTACTTACCCACCTCTTGTTGGAATCACTCACAAGTTTTGATTTACAAGGTCTAATTTATTAGTATTAGAAAATGGTTTGCATGACATATTTGCCAATCGTTCCTGTTGCATTACAGTGCAAAGTCAACATGTGTCAGTGTCATCCAGCTTTTACATGTGAACTGATCCTATCTGACAGATCACGGCTAGATGAGTTTTGTAAACGGCTGCAAGTGTATGGAAGGTTCCTGACTGACATCATCTTAGAAGCTCACGTTTTCTCGAGACACCTGAAAATAAAGTTGGTCAGTTCCGCGTCACCACAGAGCCCATAAGACTCTTACTTGAGGTCATTCATACTTTTTTCGGAGTTTTCGATTCAGGCCATGTTGCACCGTGAATAAAAACACTCATACCACAGACTGCAACATAGGGAAGATGGACCATTTCTAACTTCTCCTTTCTAAGAGATAAAACAACGTGAGCATCAAATGCTGCTCATCCACAACAAACACCTTGCAGCTGTCGCACTTCATAAAACCAGCAGTACGATTTTGTCCTCAGAACAATCGTTCCAGCCAACTTGTTCATTGAGGTCTGTCGGATAGTGACAATACTATAAACAGCTGCTGTCATGCATGGGGTCTGAAGATGATATTGTTCTGCTGGCTTTATGAGGTGACTGTAGTAGTAAGCTGCTTCCCATGGATAACCAAAAGTAACATGCTAGTTCTACCTTTACCTTCTAGATGAACTAGCCCTCCCACCATGAAATATCACACTCGCCTGCCATATGTTTTAAAGCCCATGGTACAAAGTTCCTTTATCCACCCCTGGCACAATGAAATTCTCAGCCAACAATCCTAAAAAAACCATTCTTGACCGACCTCAAGCAGGTATCCCATGGGGTCTGCGGTCACACAAAAGTAATCCTTTTTCTCTTTCTGGTACCTTGCAGAAACAGCTTCCATGACGTAGGTAGCCATGTAGTTCTGACCGCTCACATGCCTCCAGCAGTATGTAAAACCCAAACAGTCATAACCTGCCTTCCTAACCTATCTTTTCTCTTTGATTCACTTACGGATACCAAATTTAGCTTTGATAGCTACCTCAACCTCTCATCTTGCGAGAGGTTAATTATGCAAGACAGTGAAGAATCATTTTCAGTCTCCTAAAATCCCGCTGTCAATTTCACATTGTAGCTTTCAACGTCCGAACTCTATGCGAAATCAGACAACAGACATTGGTTGCTGGAACTCTGAAATCTTAAACCATGGATACATACTATGGTTCCCGGACACGCATTCAGGACCTGGGTGTGGTTATTAAATTAATATCTCCTTCCTAATATGGTGAATGTGAAAAATCAACTTTCCGATTGTTTGGGGACTCAATGGTTAACTCTCATAAACTCATTGGTCTGGGTATATCATTACGTTGCATTGCAGAAAGCTAACCACTCGAATAGATGCCAATCAACTACCGTTTGTTCGCTGTCAGACTGAAGGAACTGTAAGAATAGGGAAGGGTCATGACACTGAGGCGTATTAGTAATCTTCGCCCCCCCTCTTACCAAATGCAGTTCAGATGGTGCAAAGGATGAATTCTATGAGAAGCTGTCTTTTGCCACATAATGCAAAACGTTCAAGTATAGACACATTATAGCAGACTACTTCAACACTCGAATAGGGAAGCTCAGCCAGTAGGAAAGGCACCTAAAAAGTATCTATGATATCTTGTATCAACTAACCGAAAACGGTGGTTGTCCGTTGTGGTTTTGTCCTAACAGTCACTCGCTTCTGGCCAGCACTAGCTTCAAGTATAGGGAGACACTTTCACTCAGCGTCCATCGACATCAAACCAACAGTGAACATAAGTCGATCATATAGCCTTAAGCTATCGTTGAAGAGGATCAGTGAAAAAATGCCACTCTGAAGTATAAGTCTGAACTCCGATCACGCGTTAGCTCGAGCACATATGTGTTTACTCCTTACTAGTCGCAGGTAACAGTTGCAGTGAAGCTTGTGTGCTCAACTGGAAGAGAACATCAAATGTGCATGTAGGGATGAGATAACTAATCATCGAAACCAAGTTAGGATTTGATAGTCTGGAAAAAATGTAGCTATTGGGTAAATTATATTCATTTTACCAAAATAATGAGCGAGCTAAGCATTTAGCTGAATGTAACGGTAATTCTTCTCATGGTAGTGCCTGGAGTGCTATTCAGTTTGCTATAAAAACAGCACTATAGTTAGTTGGTAACCCACATCCAAAAGTTAACAAAAGCCAGTGAATTTCCGTAACGTCATCCGAAATGATTGGTGCGAGGAAACTCATTATATCTGTCTGTTATCACAATAAGGAGCGAATTCAAATGCTATGAAGAAGACGTCAGCATCAGGTAATGGTCGGTAGTTATTTGGGTTTATTAAGAATACTAACCCCAAAAAGACGATGGTTAGTAAGACCACCAAAAAATATTGGTCACTGACCACTTCCGAACGGCTAGGAAATTGGGCAGAAGCACAGTTCAACTAGCTCAAAGCAACCCTTTAGTTGCCCAGCATCCAGCTTGAACCTAAATGGGACTCTTCTTGATGTTTAGAAGTCTGTTTCTAACCTAAAACAATGCAAAGCTGCATGGCCTGACAGTTTGCCACCTGGGGTTTTCAAGGATAGAGGTGGGAAATTGCTGGTTAAAGTGATGGCAGTGCTAGGTAGTTTGTGGAAATCAGAGGTAGTGCCGTCGAACTGGTGTACTTCTCTGATCATCCTAGTCTATAAGAAGGGAGAGAAATCCTGTTGCGGCAACCATATGGGAGTTAATTTGGTTGGTTGTGGCTAGTAGAAGAATGCAGGACGCGCGGGAGTTAGTTTGACCAATATTATTTCCAAGACCTTACGGTTCACGGTTATCCAACGCCTTAATGAAGCCTGAGAAAGTCAGGTAGGTTTCAGACTTGGACGAGGGTCCATCGACCACATTTGTACCCTCAGACAGGTTCTAGAACACAGGCATGCTTGCCGACTGCCGTCACTCGCCATGTGTCTGAATTTGAAGTTGGTATTTGACTCTATCGGCCGTGAAATGTGTCAGTGTTTGATAATGAAAGAAGTACCAAGCAAGTACATAAAGTTGATCAAATCTCTTTACTCAAACTCACGCAGCCGTGTTAAAGCTTGTGGAGGGTTGTCATGTGAATTGACAACTGGTGTTTGCTAAGGATGTCCACTGTTACCGTTCCTATTTAACGTCATCGTAGACGTACTAATGGAAATAACCTTAGATACGTCAGACTTCACATGGGTTGACCTACTCCCTAGAAGGTAGGAATTTGGTTGATTTGGAGTGCTGATACAATATTGTCCTACTTGGTGAAGCTGACAAAATGCAGAGTTGGTATTCATTACCAGTTGAAGAAACATTGGAAACCTTGGAGCACTGGACAGCTGTTTCCCAGTATGAGACTCCTCAGGAGTGCGCCCCCATGACACCGCCAGGTATGAAACCCGAGACCTTCAGTTTCGGGGCTAGCTCGTTACCATTGAGCCATTTGGTCGGAATCTAATGGTCCATGTTACCCACTTCCATCTGTTCTGAACGCGTTGAGCAGAAATGTGAGTATTCTTGGCATGTGTTTCTCACCTGTGAAATGTAGGATGATGCTCCACAACTGGTCTGAAATTCTTCCCGGTTCGTGGATAGGGGACAAAGTGATAGAATGTATCAACCACTTACTTAACCTCACTTACTTGGGAAGTTGCATCAGCCCAAACGGGTTGGTTGTTGACGAAATCGTAACTTGAATGCAAAATGGCTGTCTGGCATTAGCTATCTTGCGTCACCTCCGGGGCTGAATAGTGGGGGGTATCTAACTACCTAACAAATGACGAAAATAATGTGCTGCGATTCGCTTTGTGAGATATGGTCATTTTACTCAGAAGATATGAAGAGATTACCGGTTTTTGATCTCACTAGTCTTCGTAGCATTGGTCGCGTATGGTGCGGTCACCATGTCATGAATGTTAAGCGGAAGGTGCTAAGCAAGAAAGACAAGTCAATCGTTGAGGTTGTGTGCCTTTATCGACGGAGTTTGCTTGCATATGTGTGTGCAGAACCACCGATTACCTTGACGTCTAGTATCAACTGCAATAACAATGAATTGGAAGAAGGCTGAAGGGAGGCCAGGCCGAGATGTGCAATTAGTCTATGGAGTCTCTGAACCCTGGAGGGAGGTGTGACTGGTTAATTGGAGTCCTCGGGGCAATAGAAGTGACTGATTCAAGACTTAGTGATAATGGCACAGATGTATTTACTGCTTGCCACCTTGCAAATTAAAGTTTGAACATTTTCACTAACCTTCATTTTTGATATTCTTTCTCCTCCCATACACTTTTGTTGACTGTGAAATCACGTTTTTTGTCCTCACTTTTTCCGTGCCTCTGGTATTATGTGGGACAAGTTGAACCAATGCACTTCTGTTCAATGTTCTACATTGGTTTTGTCTTTCTGTCTGTCCGGCCAACATAACTAATAGGATCTTTGCAATATCCAAGCTCAACCGCCACTTCAAGGTAGTAGTTATTAGTAGGGTTATATTGTTTGATATGCCGTGGGCTGTGGACGTTTACTTGCACCATTATGTCGAAATAGTCCTTTGACTTGAAGGCGTTGCCCGTGATGTATGGATAATACTGTGGATTTCAAGAAATTTTACTATTTGCTTTTGGCCCTTCCACAGGATTTTAAAGGTTTTGTATTAGGGATTAATGTATTTAGGTAAGTTTCAGTATTATTATTCTGGACTAAGATTCATCCTGTTGTTATGACACTTTTAATTTCCTGTTGCTATACAGGACCGAATCGCTTCACCTCTGCTGTTGGCAGATGGACTCGTATACGGATGCCTCGACATCGCCAGATATTCATGACGTTATATTCATGTTGGTGACTAGCAGAGGAATCCAGGACGCGCGTTTTGCCCTATTTGGGACTCATCAGCTCATGCTCATGCTCATGCACCTCAGTGGGTTATGTTGTTCCTACTTAAACTCAAACCCCAGTACTCATCTCTTAAAACGCGAACGCGGTATCCACTACGCCACTAGGACAGAGGATTACTTTGCTAGTCACAACATGAATATAACATCATGAATGTTTGACAGTGTCGAGGCATCCGGATAAGAGCCCATCTGCCAACAGCAGAGGTAAAGCTATTCGGCCTTGTATAACAACGGGAAATTACAAGTATCAAGCAACAACTGATACCTGTTGCACAGTAGGTGGCTGTCGTGCCCGACTGGCATAGTGGATAACGCGTTGGCGTTTAGAGCGCGGGGTACTGGGTTCGAGTCTCAGTGGGGACAATGTCATTTACTGAGGTGCAGGTACAACCAGCCGACGAGTCCCAAATAGGATGAAACGCGCGTCCTGGATTCCTTTGCTAGTCATCAACATTTAAATAACATGAGACTCATCCTTTTATTTCTTTTCGATGCTCTTTTGTAAAACCATGGTCTATGAGAATTAACATACACTTCTCTTTTTTCAGGAGGCGATTCGTTCGACTCTAGTTAATAGCTTTCGTGACGAATTAGCAAATGTGCTTTCAGAAAATGTCAGTTTACGCTCAGAAATAACTCGATTGAATTCTGAGTTAACACTTCTTCGGAGTTATAAACATGCGTTTTTTGCTATTCGACCTTTTATCTCACCGGGTTTATGGGAAAATATCTGTATTCAACACGGCTTGCCTGTATCATCTCTCATGAACGATTCAGACTGTCAATCATCTTGCGATGCTTAAGTTTCTCGGTAAACAAAAAAAAGTGAATGGCGATCAAAGTTTAGCATTGCTATCAGTCAATCAGTCGATGGAGTTTATTAACATTCATTCATCGATTGACCGTGTGCAATATTTTTTCTTGAGGCTTAATAGCTCTCAAAAGTCCTGATCTCATTGCTATGAGCAAAATGTGGAGATTGTCTCAGCTATCTGTTTACTCTCTGTACACCATCTTTTACTCTTCTTCCTCGTTTCTTGATCATTTTCAGTTCATTTAACCTGGTTGACTCGTACCTTGAAATTTCCAGACATAAATAGTTGTTTCTAGTACGAAGTCCTCAGTCCTGAATTTTCTTCTTTGTTCATTTTCTAATCATATGTTCACTAGGTTCTTTCATTCCCATCACGACCGGTCGGTGTTGAACTTGCCTACTTTTATCTAAACTTTTTGTCAGATGTACCTGAAGTATAGGCCTGATCTGTGATTTTTGAAAGCCTATTGTGATGTTCCCGTTTCTGTATAAAGGCAAGCTTGTATAGTTATTTTATGTGAAGTGCTTTGTAGCGTCTTCATGTTATTTCCAGTTATATCTTTCTCTCTGCTTCGCTTGTTTTGGCTCTCAGAAAGCGTGCTGTAGAATAATATTCAATATTTGTTTATAATGCATGCGTTCAAGGAGAAAATTTGAAATTTAACGATTTGCATTGTGTTTCTTATCCTACACTCCTTGATTTTGCCTTTTGTTGAGACTTTTTTAAAAAGATTCTCTTTATTTTCTGTACTTTGATTAAATTTCATTCCTGGTGAGGTTGGTTTTTTTGGTCCCCTTAATAGATTTTTTCATGTCACAGTGTAATCATGAATTTATTTACAAACTTTATTAGCGCATCATTGCTTTCTGTCATCACCAGTTTCAGTGTGGATAACTTACATTCCTGAAATATTAAAACTCAAATAGTTCTCTTTTAAACTCAGATGCTTTCTATCTGAATGAATATGCATTTGTGCCTACGAATGAATATGGTTGATGCTAGATTTTTCGGTGTTTGTTTTGGATTTCATTTTATTGTTAGGTTGTACTTCTGTTGTTTAGCTTCATGTATTTTTATTTTTCGAGTCAGTCAGACTTGATAGATTCTATTCATTTGTAGGTCATATTCTGTAGAAAAAAGTAATTAAGATTGATGTCATGCGCTAGTCTTTTATCACTAAAATTCACTGTAAATAATTTTTGCGTTGTCTGTGATTATACTGTACATATGCACAAAATTGTAAACTAGATGGTAAACCTTCAGTTAACGTGTGGTTCTCTAAAGACTTTCAACCAGTCATTCACGTGTTGATGCACTATGATCGATTTTAAAACAGCTGCAAATGTTGACTATTTAGGAATTCATGCGTCTCCGTTGTCAGTCAGCTGTAATTTACATCTTATGACTTAGTAGCACTAAACGTATTCTCAAATTCATACGTTATATATACTACTCAGCAAATCAGTGCATAAAGTAATCAGTCGTAATAAAATTATTCACTTAAGATTCCCTGTTACAATATTTGTTGTACAGACGTACTGCAAGCGAAGATGGATGCCATCCATATCCAGAGTCATTATAGGCTGAAAATTTAATTATGGTTGGTCAGTGGTACTGTAAATGTCTAGTAGAAATATCGTTCTCAACAACTTTAGTTTCTGTGTGTGCTTTTTTGAAGGTCAACTTCCCTGCCTTTTGAAACATCTCAAAGGTAAGTATCAGAATTCAAGTTAAGTCGAAGGGCAGTTGACTGACTAGTCGATATGTGATCTCGGGATATGGTGAAACAGGTATCCCGGTATACACCAGTGACTCTATAAATAATATGAATAAAGTAACGGTACTGAGAGTTTATACAGCTGCTAACACATTGTTTACTGAAGTAGCGCTAGAGTTCGCCTTGTAAGGTGATGTCACGAATTTCGATATTTGTACTTCTCAGTGGCACAGTAACAATGAAGCCAGAAATAATGCATGGTCATGTATAGATGAGTGAAGTTAAAGAAGTGGGATGCTCACCTTTCAAGTGTAATAATGGTTGAGTGTAGCAATGATTTGATCGGTCTATAACTGCAGGTACTGCGAGTTGAGCGTCTTTCTAAATTTATATTTTCCTGCTATGATTTCGTTGACATTTGACTCACTAGCGTAGTTCATCAAAACAACTTGCTTGGTTACTGCATTACAGCAGATGTAAGGTCGATATATAAGGCCGAAACACTTCATTTTGTACTGCACTTCAATTCTGAAGTATCTGGATGGGAATGATTCACTAGTCGCTGTAGGAGAAGATGACGTGGGGACACGAAATATGTAAACCTCCCTACTGAGGGTTTCTATGCCTAAGCGGACTGGTTATTTTAATACAGAAAACCGTCTGCAGCGAATCTGGGACCTGACATTTTTCCCTTTAATGAGGTTAGGTGTATATTAATTGCTCCGAATGACATAGTATTCGCAATTTTCGGTCATACCTCCATTTAGATCTTTCAGTGACTTATCTCTGTAACATCGATCCAAATGTCAGTCGACAAGTTGGCAGACTTCGTAGCAACTAAGGAAGGGATGGAGGAAAACCAGTAACTGCATCTAAGTTCATGAATTCGACTTCAAGAGCGCTTATGTTATACGTTAATAATACTACCTGGATGTCTGCATGTTAAGCTCTACTTTTAGTAGAGTAAATGGACTGGTAACCAACTGCTTTGCATTAAAGAAATGGGAGGTTTTTAATACAAGATTTATATTTATTAAATGAGATAAACAGGTACAAAGTAAGCAAACATTAGAGTATAAAAGTTAATTCATCTTGGATTTTGAACCGTTATCTAGATTCTGCAGCCGTTCCTACGTCGTCGATAATTTTAGCTGCTTAATTGACGGGATGACTTCATTGAAGTAGATTTCTCATCCCTATGGAAAAATACTATGGTCATCGGGATCACTTGCTAGATAGCGCAAGTAGCTATCCAGTTAGTAATTCCTGGCTCGAATCTTCCTGCATCCCGAGGATCCCTATCAGCCTCCTCGACGACTTACAGAAAAGGTTTTGATGAGTAACAATTTTACTGTAATTAAGTAGCAGTACAGGAAATAATTTTGTTTCGCCGAAGATAGGGAAAGTGAGATATTGTTCAGAGTGAGTTGTTCTCTGAGCTGGGGTTTCAGTTAGCAAACATCTCAGTGTCACTCTAGATACGGTCATCGATACACCAGAGCCACACAAAGTAGTGAAGCGGCTGGTTTTGCATGATAATTTATAACGTGGTGTTTTGCCTGAGTTTGATCTGATTGGTCGCTTAGTGAGTGTCTGGAAGCATGCTGAACCCGATTTATTGACTTCTTGCCTCTAGTTCTCTCAGAGGAGTACACAACTATGTGGTTGGTTAGTTTTTTTCTGTATGTTTGCAGTACGTTGAGGTCGCTTTGTTGTGATAGTTTCACCGTATGGAACTGTGGTTTAGGGGGATGGTTACCAAGCCCTAGGCCGCGGGTTCGATTCCCGTTCCACGTCCCGAGGTTTGGGCAGACAGGTAGTATCACTAGCCCTCACACAATAGGTGTTGCTCATTGCCCACTACATAGGTGCGCACAAAGCACTTGAGTTCGCTTCGGTTCTGTAGTCTGCCCCCTTTTGCTGGAACGAACTGATGAAGATCGTCTCGTTCTGACTGTCTGACTGAAGTGACGAAGGCTATCTTAGTCTGATCAGTTCACTCGCATACATTCGAGGAGGGGAGTTCTCCGCTGATTGCTTAGTCCGCTCCAGCTGGAGAAGCGTTCTTTGCTACAGCTCGTTGGCTGGGTTTTACTGTAGTGTAGGGCTTCTTTTGGTATTGGAGTGAAGAATCGTCTTTCATATCGAGGTTGTTCCTTTTCTTCCGAATATGCTTTCGTGTGCATGTCAGCCGCCATTTGCACATTTATAAAATCCAGGTATTACTGATATGTTATGGATATTAAACGCTTTCGTAATAACTGACAAAAATAACTTGTATCGCATCTTCTAAAATCCATTCATCATTCGTAGTATGCATAATTGTAAAGTTTTTCGTTAAAACAACTAATTAAGACATAGTGAATACACATAAGTCATGGTGTTTTTCATTTTTTTATGTTCATAAAGAGATGCATGCACACAACGAAACAATGTTATCCGGTGTCGACTACTTTATAAGCGAACCCTAAAGTACTCCAGCTTTTATCTGTTTCCTCTTACGCTTTTCGGATGAGCTGTCTTTTCACTGAAGTAAATTAGTTGATAAATTATGGAAGTCGATCCATATATGCATAGGTTTGTAATTCGTTAGTCTGAAAGCGGTTTTGTCCTGGTATGGTTTATTCTTGGCAACTATGATGCTTTTTATCAATTTATGATAGACATCATAGCTACAGTGGTTAATTAGTTGAATACTTTGAAGTTTATGAAAACTGTGCTGTAATCACTTCTCGTCCTACCTCTATCAAGTTCAACAGCATAGTCTTGAAGTTGGCCAATCGAAAGAAGTTTTTTTCGGATCTGTTTTGGCTTCAATATTAGTGTTTGTTTGTCCACTGAGAAACTTGTCAGTGTTTCCATATTCTCACCAATCTAGTTTAAGCCACGAGTACCCAGATGTTAATTTGTGTGTGTCAACTACCAAATATTACATTTTCGTTTGATGCTGCTGTTCAGTCTAGTGAAAGTTCCTGCATATCAGCTTAATTCGATCAACTGCCATACTTATAGAATTGTTCGTTATAGCTTAGTGCAAAACCCATCCTATGTATTTCTCGCCTACATCTGCAACTACGGATAGCTTATACCTTACGGACAGACTTCAAAGTCCAGAAAACACCAGACAGTTATTATCCTCATCCTGAGCTACAAATCTTCTTTATTATCTCAAACTGGCAGTTTATTCTACCTACTACTTATCGGTGATGAAGCAGCTTAAGGCTACTATGGTTAGTATTTTGACTATGAGATAGCTGTGGTTTGGCAGACTAGTATTTATAGTGGGTGGTGATTCAAGGTGAAATGAAAATTTTGATGCTCTAGCTCGTACCTCATTTGGTACAGCATCGGGCCGGAAACCTGGTGGTCCCTAATTCGAATCCGGCAGCTATCCAAATCTTCATTTCACCTTCGATCATCACCCACTATAAATACTACGGTTAGGTAAAATAAGATTTATCTGACAAAAGACTTCACTTATGCGCCTGTAAGTACTAAACTTATGTATTCATTGTACATATAACATTTTCTGGCTTGATTGTTCAACCTCAAACAACTCTAGTAGTATTTTTTATGTAAATTTCTGCTTCATGACATGTCAAAGTTGTGAAACTGTGATTCTTCTGAAATGTAAGAATGTAAAACTTCGAAATTCATATATCATGCATGTAATGTAATCTGCATAAAAAGCCTGACATGATCAATGAAGATTGGAAAGCAAGCAGCAAACGAATAAATTTAATATAGAAATGATCCCTACCTTTTGTGCATATCAGATGTAACGAACAGTTTTTCATTACATATGTCTCCAGATGTAGAACACTAATAAAGCAGTAACCCTCGCTAAATATGCTGAGAACATTAATCACAGTCATGTGATTGCAAGGAATGTTCACTGCATTTTAACACAAGTCTGGACCGTTTTTCGTTGTTAGTAGTCGTATTAACTAGGTGTACGAGCACCAGTCAATTTCAGAATTTTATAAATGGACTACTATGCTGAGACCTAAGCTTAAAGAGACGACAGTAGTCGACTCAGAAAATACATTAACTAGACTTCGTATCAATGCATCACAAACATATCATGAAAATAAACAGGTTTTCATACATACGAAACACTAAGATACAGTTTGTATATGGACTTCATTCGCATACGTTGCGGTTCATATAACTTAAATGGAATAGGTTTATTCTGCTAAATGAAAGATGTAAATGTAGACCAGAGAGCTAAATCATTTCACTTACGGTTAGGTAGCTCTGGTAAGGGTAATAAAAAGCTTTTTTTCAGAATCCTGATCTAGTGTGATGAAAGTAATCAATGAAATTTTTATGTTTATTTTGGTTACTAGGTATAAATACGACGTAAACATTTCTCCAGGTTACTCTTAATTACTGTTTAGGTACGTTGTTAAATCATACATCACATATGATCACTTGTGTACTGGGTCAAGATTAGTTAATCGCTTAGTCTTAATAGCCTACTCCCTGCTTAATAAACGGATATTACATCAGTGTTACGCAAATGCAAGAAAATTGCGATTGCCAGTCGATCTATCTGTATTTTTGCTTATCAGTTTGGAATTCAATCGGTCTATCAGGACTGAAGAAGCTACCTAGGTGAGTTGATTAGCTAGAACAGTTTTGAAATATTCTCTTCTGCTAATAAAGTACAGTCAACTTCATCAGATATTTTTATGAAATGTTCTGTTGACTGTATTTTATTAGCGTGTTCGCTTAGCTGGAAAATACTTCTGGTTCACCTTCATCTAAATTAAAATCTTCCTA